AACACCTGTCCAACACCTGTCAGACACCTGTCCAACAGATGTTCAACACCTGTCCAACACCTGTCAGACACCTGTCCAACAGATGTTCAACACCTGTCCAACACCTGTCTGACACCTGTCCAACAGATGTTCAACACCTGTCCAACACTTGTCTGACACCTGTCCAACACCTGTCCAACTCCTGTCTAACACCTGTCTGACACCTGTCCAACAGATGTTCAACACCTGTCCAACACCTGTCTGACACCTGTCCAACAGATGTTCAACACCTGTCTGACAGATGTCCAACACATGTCCAACAAATGTCCAACACCTGTCCAACAAACGTTCAACACCTCTCAGACACCTGTCTGACACCTGTCTGACACCTTTCTGACAGCTGTCCAACAAATTTCCAACAAATGTCCAACAGATGTCCAACACCTGTCCAACAGCTGTCCAACAAACATCCAACACCTGTCAGACACCTGTCCAACACCTGTCAGACACCTGTCCAACACCCGTCAGATACCTGTCCAACTCCTGTCTGACACCTGTCCAACTCCTGTCTGAAACCTTTCTGACAGCTGTCCAACAAATTTCCAACAAATGTCCAACACCTGTCCAACACCTGTCCAACAAATGTCCAACAAATGTCCAACACCTGTCCAACAGCTGTCCAACACCTGTCTGACAGATGTCCAACACCTGTCCAACAAATGTCCAACACCTGTCCAACAGCTGTCCAACACCTGTCTGACAGATGTCCAACACCTGTCCAACAAATGTCAAACACCTGTCCAACAAACGTCCAACACCTGTCCAACACCTGTCCAACACCTGTCCAACAAATGTCCAACAGATGTCCAACACCTGTCTGACAGATATCCAACACCTGTCTGACAGATGTCCAACAAATGTCTAACAGATGTCCAACGCCTGTCTGACCGATGTCCAACACCTGTCTGACAGATGTCCAACAAATGTCCAACACCTATCCAACACCTGTCCAACAGATGTCCAACACCTGTCTGACAGATGTCCAACACCTGTCTGATAGATGTCCAACAAATGTCCAACACCTGTCTGACAGATGTCCAACAGATGTCCAACACCTGTCCAACAAATGTCCAACACCTGTCCAACAGATGTCCAACAGCTGTCTGACACCTATCCAACAGATGTCCAACAGGTGTCCAACAGGTGTCCAACAAATGTCCAACACCTGTCCAACAGATGTCTAACACCTGTCCAACACCTATCCAACAGATGTCCAACAGATGTCCAACACCTGTCTGACAGATGTCCAACAGATGTCCAACACCTGTCCAACAGATGTCCAACAGCTGTCCAACAGATGTCCAACACCTGTCCAACAACTGTCCAACACCTGTCCAACAGTTGGACAGGTTTCCAACAACCCAAAGTGAAACACTATAAAACAATAAACCATGACAACAACAGAAACATGAAAAGTTCACTTCCTGAGGGACTGTCAGAATAAAAGCATCAGATTTTACAGAAGACTGACCAACGAAACAAATAAAGGAATAAAGATCAGGTGGTCTGGTTCTGCTCAGACCAGGTCCATCATCCATCAACATCCACAGTCAGACTGGTGCCAGTCCCAGGTCCTGGGTCCAACAGAACCAGGACCCAGAACACCAGGAGGAGCTTTGATCAGGACCGGTCCTTCATCTTGGTTTCTTAATCCAGAGAAGTCTTTAGTGTTTTAAGGGCAGAAAAAGCAGAGTTCTGAGTAAATATTCTACTAAACGTTCCAGAGGACCACCCCTAGACCTCCTAGAACTGCTTCAGTCCACAGCTGCAGGTTAATGAACAGGTGTTCCTCATGATGTCAGCAGGTCTGAACTGGACAGCCTGGTTTCTCCTCAAAGACAAAAGGATTCAGTCTGGGATGTGAATGTCTGTAAACTGGTAGTGAGCTTTAGAAACCTGCACCTGGGGACCACCTGGACTCTTCCCTCAGAGCCCGAACAGTCCAGGACCGGTCCTGGTTTCAAGACGGTTTTAAAGTTTGTCCCTGAAATGTGTCTAAATAAAAACATAAGAACAAAAATCAGAACAATCCAAACAGACACAATGATGGACAGGTGGACCGGTGGACCGGTGGACAGGTGGACAGGTGGACAGTGTCCAGGTGGACAGGTGTCAGTGTGGACAGGTGTCAGGGTGGACAGGTGGACAGGTGTCAGGGTGGACAGGTGTCCAGAATCTACCATCCTAGTCTAGAGAAGTTTGTGCTTTAGAATCTACTCACAGTTTGAACATGCTGGAGAGCCTCACTGTAAACATCTGGACTCACTACCAAGAGACAGGGACCACAGGGACCACAGGGGCCACAGGGACCACAGGGGCCTCAGGGACCACGGGGACCACAGGGACCACAGGGGCCACAGGCGCCAAGGGGACCACAGGGGCCACGGGGACCACAGGGACCACAGGGGCCTCAGGGACCACAGGGACCACAGGGGCCTCAGGGATCATGGGGACCACAGGGACCACAGGGGCCACAGGGACCACAGGGGCCACGGGGACCACAGGGGCCACGGGGACCACAGGGACCACAGGGGCCTCAGGGACCACAGGGACCACAGGGGCCACAGGGACCATGGGAACCACAGGGACCACAGGGACCATGGGAACCACAGGGACCACAGGGACCACAGGGGCCTCTGGGACCATGGGGACCACAGGGACCATGGGGACCACAGGGACCACAGGGACCATGGGGACCACAGGGACCACAGGGACCATGGGGACCACAGGGACCACAGGGA